AAAACCCATTTCTTAAAAAAAAAAATGTATACAAAGTAAGGAGAAAAAAAATACAATGCAATGCTTATAACTACATACATAGTTCATTTTTTTTTTTTTTAACTAAATAAAATTATTATGGTTTAAGAAACTAACGTTTTAATGAGGAAACAGAAGTATCAAATAAATCAACAGTATTGTATATTCACTAATTTCGTGGTCCGCTTGACCAATTAATACATTACAATTAATTAAGGTTTTTAGTTGAGATGAAAAATGATAGCTCAGGTGGTAGAGCAGCGGCGTATCTAGCCGAAGGTCGTGGGTTCGAATCCCTCTCATGCCATTAGTATTGTATATGTTGTTCCATTCTATCATCATGCAATCCATCGGGGAGTTAGTGAAAAATTTGTTCCTTTATATTCAATAAAAATATTTTCTGGCGAGGCGTCGGTGGCCACAACAGTTTAGACGTTGACACAACTCATAACAACTGTAAGGCAGAGGTCCTGGGTTCGAATCCGGCAGTATTGCATTCGAACCCAACATACTTACAAACTTTTTTTTTCCAAAAACACCAGTACCCAAGGGTTGATGTGACCTCTGCCTCTGCTGGTGCTCATTTAAAAAAATAAATTAATTAAAAATACAATAAAAAACTGATCGTTTCTACATTTTTTTACTCCATCTTTATCTCCAATACTCCTGTTAATTTTGATAAATCTGCTAAATGTTGATTTTCAGTTAGAACAGGATCGTTATCATTTTTAAATCAATAATATTGGTTATTTATTTGAACTAAACACACCATTTATTTTTTATGCATTAAATTTCAGTTTCTAATGCATTTTAGGCCATGTCCCTGGTCCCTCTTCAGAGTTTGCTATTTAGCCAAATATAATATGTAATAATTCAAAATATAATATAAAATAAATAAATATTAAAATAAAATATATTATAATTATATAACATATTTAGCGAAATAGTGAACTCTGAAGAGGGACCAGGGACGTGGCTCGAAATACATAAGCAACCAAAATATATTGCATAAAAAATAAATGGTGTGTTTAGTTCAAATAAATAAATCATTCTTGATTTCAAATATTTTTATCACCAAATTAAGTCATAATTATTAAAAATAAATAAAATTTGAATTTACAATTTTTATTTAAATTTATTGCTTTTTGGGGTTTAAAACGGCTTGATAGTGATTTTTTTAGAGAAAGTTTAGCATTTTCTTGTATTTAGTAGAGAAAAAACACTAATTGAGTGTTTGTTAAGTGATTAAGTAAAAATGAGGTACAAAGGGTTTTATTTTTTTGTTTTTCAGATGTAAAATCCAACGCAAAAATTGCATTGCAGTCAATACAGTTTTAGAAAGAAAAAAAATTTCTGCTTATTTAATCCTCTGATCAGGTATGTTTCTTATGCATATTTCCATGTCCGATGTACGAAAAAAAGCCCTGTTTTGTTACAATTGTAAATGCCCATACCCTCCATACATTTGTGTGTAAGCTATTTTTCTAGTTAAATTAATTTTACCTGTCTTGGTAGAGATGAAAAAGCTAGTATCAAGGGGCAGGATTTGAACCACAACCGTCGGCTACCCGGTACATTTCATAAGTCACCAATTAAATCCTGACTGAACAAAAAGAAGGAAAATTCGAAAGGTTGTAGGTTGAGATGAGTTGGTGTCCGAGTGGATTGAAGCTATGATAGCTCAAATGGCTTATTAGCTGAAGGTCGTGGAACTTAGATAAAAAATATAATTAATTAAAATAATTAATAGTCAATTATGAATATTACATACAGATATGGATTAATATTTTTCTAAACCTACATTTTATAATAACAGCTAGCTAACAGATAGCTCAAGCGGTATTAGCTGAAGGTTTAGCCGCTATTTAGCCAAATATAATATATAATAATTAAAAATATAATAAAAAATAAATAAATATTAAAATAAAATATATTTTAATTATATAACATATTTAGCGAAATAACGAGCTCTGAAGAGGGACCAGGGACATGGCTCAAAATGCATAAGCAACTGAAATATATTGCATAAAAAATAAATGGTGTCTTTAGTTCAAATAAATAAACATCATTCTTGATTTCAAATATTTTTACCACCAAGTTGTCATAATTATTAAAAATAAATAAAATTTGAATTTACAATTTTTATTCAAATGTATTGCTTTTTCGTGTTTAAAATGGCTTGATAGTGACTTTTTTTAGAGAAAGTTTAGCATTTTCATGAATTTAATAATAATAATAATAATAATAATAATAATAATAATAATAATAATAATGCTTTATTAAACATAAAAAAGGAAAAAAGACAATTTAGATTTCAAAGCATTTAAGGACATGGATTTTGGATCCATCTGCCAGAGGTCATTGATTAAACAATCAGAAACAAAAAAATACACAATAAAATAAAATAAAAGTTATAGCCTACACAATAAAAAGAAAAAAAAAGGAGAAACAACAACTGTTAAAATGCGAAAGAGAACAGAAAAACAGGTTATACAATAGAAATAAAAAATTAAACTCATTAATTAATTCATATGTGTAATTCCATGCATGCCTAGCGTAACGAATTAAGGGCCGCGAATTTGAGCCACTCAAAAACCGTAACAGGTCAACCCTGGGGAGAGTGAAACATCCGAGATGCAACAACCGAATCTCACCCAGGGATGAGCACTCCGCCAAGAAGTAGCATACAGTTTCAATAGAGCGCGAATTACACAAAGAACAAATTCCCAATTCCTCTCTGATCCAAACAGCCGAGTTTAAGTGCAAAACCTCACTTCTTAGCTTAAATAGCCATTGCAACTCATTGAGAGACTTCCATGTCCGATGTAAGAAAAGAAACCTGTTTTGTTACAATTGTAAATGTCCATACCCTCCATAAATTTGTATGTAAGCTATTTTTCTAGTTAAATTAATTTTACCTTTTTACCTGTCTCGGTAGAGATGAAAAAGCTAGTGTCAAGGGGCAGGATTTGAACCACAACCGTCGGCTACCCGGTACATTTCATAAGTCTCCTATTAAATCCTGATTGCAAAAAGAGGGAAAATTCGAAAGGTTGTAGGTTGAGATGAGTTGGTGTCTGAGTGGACTATGATAGCTCAAGTGGTATTAGCTGAAGGTCGTGGAACTTAGATAAAAAGTATAATTAATTAAAATAATTAATAGTCAATTATGATTATTACATACATATATGGATTAATATTTTTTTAAACCTACATTTTATAACAACAATTATAAAATATAAACGCAGTCAAATCATCTGCCCAGTCGGGTGGCTAGCCAAGTGCCATTCACGTTCTTCTCCCCACTAATTGATGTGTGGCTTTCTTCCTTGACACCAGTGGCGAATTTGAACCGAGTTCACCAAAGAAAGCGTTGCAATTGCAAATTTCAATGTGAAACAGTTAATTGAAGAAATTCATATTAATACCACAATATAGGATATGAAGTGTGCGTAGTATAGCAACAAAACTAAAATGAATGAAACTTGGAAGGAAGTGGCACATAATATTGTGATAAAGAGACCATTTTCCAATTAGTTTTTTTTTTCCATTAGCCCATAGCCATAACACTGAGAACTGGACGGTCCCATATCGCTACCCATACCTACCCTCACCACAAAAAACGTACCAGCCGTAACATGCAGCCCTCTAGTGTACCTTGTCAATACCAAGTACACTATGAGAGGTGTGATGTGGTGTCGTCACTTCCCTCACATCCTGGGGCTATCGAAATCTAAGGTTTCTTCCTTTTTTTTTGCTTCTCTACTTGTAGAGAAATAAGCCCAAGATCAAAATGAGTGTGTGTATAGGTGCGAATATATTTATTTGTGCAGCTGTATTATAAAAGTTAGTTAGTTTTAGGCTAGATTATATTTTGCATTGGGGACTGAAATGACCTAGCCCTTGTTGGAGCCTAACCCCGTTGGTTGGGAGACATTAATTTACTGAGCATCTGGACCAAGGGGGATACAGCAACCCAGCAGCGTAACGGGGTAGGTGAACTCCCCTGATGCATATGCCCTAGTCAGCTCATCAGGGAGTGATAAACCTTCCAGTTGAAAGCCCAATAAGCACAAGAAGTGCTTTCTCCAGTTGATTTCAAGTTATTTCAAAAGTTGCTTGGTGTGAAACCAGCTAAGAAAAGTCTTCACAGCAGTCAACTAGTTGAGAGTTAACGAGGCAACTTAGTCAAATCAACCAAATCGCTTCATCTGAGAGGCCTTACATGCCATGAGGTGTTCATTAATTAGAGAAATTTTTGTAAATGTTGCACTTTGAACATTTTCTACAACTTTAACAAATTAATGAATCCAAGTTTACTAAAATCTCTCTCTTGTTCAAAAAAGGTGTAATAACAAACCCAAACAATTCTGACACTTTTATTTCCATTTTTTTGTGCTTTATATTTCAGCCGGAAAAAATTTATTTATATTGATTTTTATTTTTCAGATTGGAAGCCAATATACATCCATTCTTAAATTTAAAGTTTTACAAACAAATATCTAATATTCATACTTTTTCCTTTTTAATATTTCATTAATACATGTTTCACATATTTTGTAACATAGACAATTTAATAAGTATAATAAAATGGTTAAATCCCTTAATTATTTTATGGCACAACATTATGTACCCAGCTTACACATTTCAACTGCAATAACAATTATAAAATAATAACGGAAGATACAATATTATATTAACAAATTGAACTTTTTTTTATTAAGAAAATTATATGTTTAAACAGTTATGCTTATAGCAATTTACAAATGACAATTGTTAAATGACAATAAATTTCAATTGTTAATTTCAACTACTCTAAATTTATATTACCTGGGGATTTCTTATTAACACTATTTGGCTTCATTCATATCAAATAAACTTATATAATAACAAAACAATAAATAAATTTTAAAGCGAATAATTATAAATAAATATTTTTAAAAAATATATAAAAAAAACGTTAACAGCACATAAAACATAAATATAACTAAAGCTGACTTTATTTATTGGAATGATAATTTTGATATAATTCATACAAAATCAAAAATTGCACTTTAAACGTCAAAAAGAGATTCATACTCTTCATGCAGATTGATGCTTCATTAACATCGAATCAGGCTTTAAAAGCCGCTTTCCTAAGTACACACTAATTTCATTTGAAACTAGAAACTATAATGTCAAAAATATATCAGTCGTAAGTGAATAGATATGAACTTGTTAAGGCAATTTTTCCCCAAATTTTGATGGGGTCCAGCTCAGGGTTTTTTGTTAGTGAGTCTGGCTATTTCGTCTCCGAGTGTATCAATATTTTCCTTTAAAAGAAACAGTCAAAATGTGAAAATTCATCTTGGATTTGTGATTAAGTAACAAGCGTTCACCTTGAGGGTAATATTTTTAAGAAGAGTGTCTTCGAGTATTGCCTGGAGCTTCTGATTGATCTCCATGCAAAGTTCCAATGACATGGACTCGTTCACAGGCTTTGCCGAGTACAAAGAGGCCATTATTCCACCATGCTTGGTCAATTCCGCCTAAACCGGCAAAAATAGTTTAGAAAAGAAAATTACAAATTTAAATTTAAAATGTTTTACCGATGTAACCAATTTTGACCATCCCATTAGCTCAGACTTGAAAGCACAATAATATTTTGTTCAATATATGATAATAGAACAGTTTTATTACAATAGGTAAAAAAATTAGGAAGAAAGAATCTAAGAAAAGCTATTTTCATATTATATAAAAACCTTAATACTACTTATATTGAATGAATTAAAAAAATATCTTTTTAAAATTATATTGACCCTGAAAAAGCAAATTTTGAAAACTCAAAAACAAAACTATTTCCTTCTATCAGAACATGTTTAAAACCCTCTTTGTTTTACCTATTGTAAGGGCAAGTTAAATTTTAATTTGTCCTTTTGTGTATAATTTGTAATTGTAAACATAAATCACCTTGTTTTTGTCCATAGATTTGGAAGTGAGCGCTCCAGCCTGCTCTCTGAGGATGTAGTTCTGAAGCAGTTTTGATTTTTTCTGCAGCTCGTGGACAAGATGTACGGAATGCTCTTCGAGAAACTCGACTCTCTCGGACTGTTTAGCGTTGTCTTGCTGCAGTTTGACTATTCGTTCTATTAATATCTGGGCTGGGACGTCCAAAACCTAATTTTTGATGGTAAAATTTTATCAATCTTTTTCAATTCATGTTTTGGCAAGATGAGACAAACTACATCTAAGCCTAAGTTTGATCGGCGGGATTAGAGATCCATCCAGAGAAGAACCAATAACTGTTCCAAACTAGAGAAGAACAGAACAGGCTAATTAATTCCTGCAATTACATTACAAACCAAATAAATTTATCAGAGAAAATTGGTCTGCATTCTCTAGAAGGGCCTTATTATGCCATAATCATAATAAATTATTTAAATAAAACAGTTTAGGTCAATAAAATTAAAAATTGCAATGCACGGAATTTGTTGATCAAAAGGTAAAGAAAAATATGCAGGAAGAAGGCTTCAGCCTGAATAACTGCAGATACTCTATAGAAATAATGTCGTAAGTTAATTATTATTACCTATATTTCAAAAATAACTCAATAACAACTTTAACTTTTCCATTGCATATTTATCTTCTATTTTTATGTATGTGTGTATTTCACAATTAAAATATTTTTGTCGATCGATGGGTGGGCAAAAGCTTGGAAATTCATCCAATTGGGAAGGCTAGATTGAACAAGACATAAATTTATGTACATGTTATGAGAAATCTTTGTGAAGCACACTACTTTTACTGTCAATAAATACAGCAAGAGTTTAACTTTTGTCACTCTATTTTTTTATTGGGGTGTTTTGGGAAAACCTCAAGACATGTAAACTTTTATTTTTTGTCTAGTTCTTCTGAACCAAAAAGTTTTTATCTAAAAATAATACTCCAATGATTATCTTACAACATTATTTGGTCCGTTTTAAAGGATTAGAGGTAAATAAACCAGATTAAATCTCATACTTGTGTTTACAATTGGGTTTTGTAAATAGATTTTTGAATAATCAGTCACACTCTTCTTTGTTGGCTTTTCTGTGAAGCTTTCTAATGTTCTGGTGGTTTGATTTTTTAAATTGTACGATTTTTAAGTTTCAAATTTGTTTGAGTGATGGTGTTAACTGATACAGATTCGGCTAGAATCATTGAATTGTAAGATGGAAGAAGCCAAGTGTATACGGCCAAATTTCCAGAACAACCAACCGAAAGGTCTTCCATCGCTACCAAGATACTGGAGATTATTCGAGAAGGCATGGATCAAGTCGCAATCGCGTCACATCTCAGAGAGATGATCGTTTTATTGTTTTGAATTTAATCTGTAATGGACATTCTACCACTGTTGAGATCAAGCGACGACTTCACCGAAATGTTAATGTCTGTTTACGCACTGTAAGGCAAAGACTTTCAGGAGATAGATTATGTGCGAAATGGCCTGCCACTGGTCAAGTACTTCTGACAAGGCACAGAACAGCTCGGTTAAGTTTCACAAGAAACCACTTCAATTGGTTTGAGCAAGATTGGACTAAAATTTTGTTTTCGGATGAGTCAAGGCTTTTTTTGAGGTCTTCGGATGGGCGAGACAGGGTTTGGAGAAGAACAGGAGAGCAAAACATCCCTGCAACATTTTCATTCTGGAGAAGCTATGGAGGTGGTGATATGATTTGGGCAGGCAATTCTAAGGAAAGTCGCACAAACTTGATCTTCATCAAGGGTACCCTAACAAATATGTTTTAGTTGTGTTATCAGTAGTTGTTCCTTATATGACACTAATTGATGACGATTTCATTTTTATACATGGTAATGCAAACCCCAACATAGATAGGATCACATGTGAGCACTTGGAAAGGGCTTCAATTGAATGTTCGTCCCGATTTAAACCCTATTGAACATCTTTGGAACAAGTTGTCAAAGAGGGTAAAATGTCGTGCAGTGATTCCAGAGAATTTGCAGGAATTAAGAATGCCGTTGGCGGAGTATAAAAATATTCCACAGCACTACACTCCTCACTACACCTCATAAAATCGATGCAAACAGTGATCAACGCAAGGGGAGGCTCCATACTTTTTTTTTATTTAGCTATATCTTTCATTTTTCTTTAAAAACATCCAGTAAATAACCAAAATAAAAATTATAATTATTGCAAATATTTACTAAATGGCAAAGTACTATTCAACATACATTTGTTATAAGGTTTTTGGGCTCTAAATTCAATGGTGCAAACGTTGTTTTATTATTTGGATAAGCAAAAAACTTTTTAAAAACATTACTTTTCAGAAAACTAAATCTCCAAATTTGTCAACCAAGGACCAATTTATTTATTTTCATTTTAATTCCTTTTTATTTAGTTGAGAGTGTTATAATAGGTCATGAGGTTATCGTCATTTTAGATAGCATGGAAGACTAAAAGGGTGGGACAATCAGGAAAGAATTTGGGCTTTGGGTTAGAGTGGAGGGATAGTTTCAAGTGGAAATTGAGAAAGCGAGTTCGGATCACATCCTTCACAAATGGGATTTTAAGATCTTTAAGGACCATTTTCTTGGTCATTTAGAAGGGAGCATTGAGGATATGGCGATTTTGGAAAGGATTGGATTCATTAGATGGAGGATTCAGCCAAGACCCACAGTCTCTGTAGGTCCACTTGGTCTGATGAGTGTTTTGTAACTAGTTAGTTTGGTATTGATTGGTTTGATTTTGGTCCCGGTAGGTGTCTGGGTGAGTAATCTATTACTTTTGTTATGTTTTGTCTTTTTAATCTTGAATGTGGGTTCTATGTCAGTGTCTAAGTAAAGCCCAAGGTTTGATGATGGTATTCTCTTGTTGTTTATGTGCACTGATGGGCAGGTCTGTCGTTTGAGCGTTACTTGGCTTTTTTGCTTGTTCAAACTAATGAGTTTCAGATGTTGGATTGCTTTGGCTAGGATAGGATTGTTCAGAAATAATTTTTTTGCTAATAATTTGAGATTGATTTAAAATAAAAACCACCTTTAAATTCAGCATTAAAAAACTTTTAAAAAAGTACATCTTGCCATTGACATATCAAGCTTCTATTCACATCCCACACCCTAGACAGATAATAACTTTTTGGAACTTAAGAAACTAAACAAAAAAAAAAGTTTGCAGTCTCAGGATTTTTCCCAAAAATTACCCCAATAAAAAAATATAATAGGGGAACAGAAATGAAATACCCTATACAACTGATAAGACATACATCTATACAATAAAATAAAATTTATAAAAATAAATTATTAGACAGGCATACTATTTAATTTTATTATTTTGTGCATGTTCATACAAGGTGTACAATGTAATTTCCTTATTTTCAAGAAAACAATAATTATAACAGCCAAAACAAGAGAAAATATAAGGCTAATGAACAAGATTTAAATAAAAATGCTATGATTTTACTGCTTAGCCGTGAATAACATTGTACGCCTGTATAAATTATTCAAATGCGTTTAATTTTTCATACATTTAGTTACATGCATTTTAAAATCTGATTAAATGTGAGTGTTATTGTTAGGTAAGTAAGTGGGCCTTTGTTATACCTGAAATGAAGAGGATTGGTTGATGTTGTCGTTAAGAGAGCTTAGTGAGCTTGTTCTAGATTCCTGGCACAACGAGTCACTCCCGCTGCTACCACCACCACTCGATTCCAACAGTTCCACCCTTTTCCTGTAATGCTGGAGTTCTTTCTGAAGTTCCTGTTTGGCCACCACCCATTCGCATTTTAATCGTTATTGTTATAAAATGTTAATTTTATTATTTTAAAGATGTTATCAATTTTCTTAACCGGTAGGGATTCTCAAGCAAACAAAAGTTAATTTTACTATTTTTTTTATTAAAGGTTTTTTAAAATTTTGTAAACTCTCCAAACAGCATTCCAGACATGCAAAACATGGTCACTTTCTTGGCGGGGAGCCAATGAGAAAATAGCGGTTTTCGCTTATCACCTTGAGAGCGACGGAATATTTGTTCTTGAGGAGGGTCAGCTCTGACTGCGCCTCTGTCAGGTTCGACTCGAGCGAGTGCATCTTTGTAGACTTCTCGGCCACCTGCTTGGCTAAAAGTTTGGCTTCGTCGTTCCTCCTCTCCTGCTCCGCCTTCAATTCCGCTTCCAACCTGCTCACCTCTTTTTTCAGCACCTTTAACACGGCCCCATGTTCCTCTTCTTCTCTCTCAAGTTCTGTGGCCTGAGAAAAACAATAATTTAGCTCGCTTTAAAACCTATTTAAATTTGATAAAAACCTACCTTTGCCTCGACGGAACTGAACTCTGACTGGAGCGAAACATTTTTATCAGTCACCCTTTGAGTAAACTCCAATAGTTCGGCTTCTCTTTTTCTACACATCTCCATTTCCATTCCAAGCTCCTCATTACACTTTCTCAATGATTCTATCTCAGCGGCGTACTTACGGAAGGCTTCTTTTTGACTTCAAAAGAGATTTAATTAGTTAGTGACAAGTTCATTCTAAGACAGACATAAAGAAATATTACTTTTTGAGGTCTTTTTTGACTGAGTCCATCGCATCTAGTTGTTCTTCCAGTTCAACGAGAGCACTTGAGAGTTTAGCATTTTGATCAACAACCATTTTAAGTTTGTCATTCATCTCAAACCTTTCTTGATCGACCTCTTGTGTCTTTAAAAATTTACTTAGTTTAAATATCAAATCTTAAATAAGAATTAGATTTTTATACCTGAATTGCGAGCATACTGTTTTCTTCCATAAGCCGTTCAAACTTTTGATTTAGCATCCTGTATTTGGCTTCGAGCTCTTTGTACTCATGGGTTGACATGATCAACTGGGCTTTTTGCTCTTTGTACTTTTGATCTGGCAGAGACAAGCATTTTCTTTATACAGTTTGAAACCCCATAAAAATACAATTTTACCTGTTATCCGACCTTGCACAGCCATATCAAGTTGCTTCTTCAAGTCTTGATTTTCTTCTTTCAGCTCGAAAATCTCATTTTGAAGCCCAAGGATTTTAGTGCTTAACTTTTCAATCTGCTCTGGGGATCCCTAGAAAACAAACATATATTTCAAATTTGTATTATATAAAACATATAAACTCACTTTCTGAGCAGCTTCCAGCTGGGATTTCAATTTGTTTTGTGACCATTTGATTTTAATATCTCTCGCGTTGATCTCGTCTTTCAGCTTATCGACTTCTGAGTACAAGTTGGAAAGTTCAGAGTTCTAAAAATGCAATATAAAATTTGAAATCTAGGTATTCAACAGGGTTCATGGTGTATAACCTTTGTTTCTAACTGTTGAGAGATTTTTAGTTTTTCGGCTGATAGCGTTTTTAATTTGTTGGTCAGGCTTTCATTCTCTTTGGTCGCTTCCTTCAACTTTTTGTTCAGATTCTCCTTCTCCACTTTTTGGTTTAGAAGCTCTTTTTCGCTAATGGCGAATCTCATCACCATGTTCTCCTTTTCTTTGTTCGCTGCGTCTTTTTGCTTTTGTAACTGCAAGAAGAAAGTAATGAAATTATTTTGAAAAAAAAATGAGGATTAAAAGAAAAGTTAATTATATTTACAAGGGTAACTTTTGCCTCCATCTCTGACTTAAGTGTGTCTATGGTTTTTGAATCTAGCTCATGCTCCTGCCTTGCCAACACAAGCTCTTTTTCAAGAATGATAATTTTCTTTTCTAGCTGTTGGAACTTTTCAATTTGTGATGGGTCTATTCCTTTCTGTTGTTCCAGTCTAAAAATTGTGTTGAAAAAAAATTTTTTTTTTCTTCTTCATTACATTGAAACATTATAGGAAAATGTATGATCACAATACAAACAGGCAATAAATACAAATTGACTTTTGTACAAAAAAATTTCCAATTAAAAGAATACAAAAGAATAAATTTGTAGGTAGGAAAAGAAATTTGATTGTCTAAAAAATTCAATCTTATAAAAATTTCAAAATGTAAAGTAATATTTTCCTTAAAAAAGAAGAGAACAAACCTTGAAAGTGCATCTTCCAGTTGAAGTACTGCATATTTGCTTGCTTCAAGCTTCTGAAGTACAGATATGTGGCTCGGGTGCATGAGACAGTTGTGATCTCCTATTTTAGTGTCTCTTCCCTTCGCTTTGCGGAAGAGTTCAGGTGAGCGACTCGGAGATGGCGGGGCTGAGCAGTAAGTACCGAAATTACCACATCTTGAGGTTGTTATGTTTCGGAAGAGTGTATTGCATTCATCCTCCAGGTCCTGTGCCATTTCTGACAAGAACCTGGAATGTCCGTCTGGCAGGATGACATGGTTGTCGTAACTTGGATCGGAAGTGTTCGGAATGTAGCTTGATGTTGATCCTTGCTCTTGAACGTCGGGGACATAGTGGCTGTTTGTCAGGTACCTGTTAGTCAGAGAGTACTCGTCGAGATATGAGGAGAGCTTGGGTCGGTCGCCATCTCCAGTCAAAGTGAAGCCAGCAGGCCTGGTTTGGATATCCCGTCTTAAAAATCTGTCTGGCAGGTCCATTTGAACCATCCCCAAAATGGGCCCTGCCTCCTGGCTTCAGCCCCAATACAGCTTATCATCAAACCGGTTATCAAATGAATCGTCTTTTCCGCTGTTTGGAAATTTTTTCTGGCTTGATAATGATCATCTAAAAGGCAAAAAATCAGTTGTAACATCTATAATCTGCGATAATAATGACAATATATGCATGAACATTAATGTTTAAAATATATTTCCATTCACAATAGTAGGATCTGTAGCTTACTTATTTATATCCTTCAAAAGTTATATGCTATTAATTCCCCTCCCTCACATCAGATCAATTGTGGGATCACTATCCTAGAGAGTACAAAATATTTAAATTGCAGATAAAAATAATACAGGATACACTGGACTATTCGAATGGTAATTACATTCTGGGATTAGGTAATGCTATAAACAACAATGAAAAATAAATAAAATAACTTGTTTATTTTTATAGCTTGGACATTGCTGATCATTTTGATCTACCTATACTGGCAGTTGTGATCTATCATTTCTGCCTTCTGTCATTTTCTGTGATCAAGATGACTGTTCACAAGCCTACCACTGAAGTTGATGAATGGCCAAATAGCATCTGACAGACAAAACAGCAAAATTAGGCTGACTAAAATGATCAGAAACAACAAAACTGCAACCTTTTGTGCCCAGCTTTTGTAGACATTGAATATGTGTGCTGAATCCGCTGGAAAACATTTTTTTTTTTTTTTGCAAAAATCATTCTGTTTGAAAAACAACCCATAAATGTCACTAGGTGGATTAACAATTATCTAATAAGTATTGATTAAACAATGTCAACTTTTTAAGAATTAATAGTCCTATATTAAAATAAAACAATTAAAGAAGTTCCTCAACAACCAGGAAAATCTACCTCTCAGTAGGCAAAAAACATTAGGCCTTTATAACTGGCAACTGCCCATTTAATTACCACTTTTTAAAAAATGGGAAAACTGAGACAGAAATGTGCAGACTGTCATTGTGGCAAAACATCAGAGCATGTCCTTTGTTTCTGCAAAGCATTGGCCCTGAAAGGGTACAGACTCTTTGGGAAGATTATAGCAATGCGGTGGCAGAGTGGTTAGGGCATCCAATTTGTATTCGCCAACTAGCGGTCCTGGGTCTGAATCCCGGCAGGCCTACTGATTTTAATTGCAAATAATATAAGGATAGTTTGGTAAAGTGGTTTGACCTCTTGTCTGGGACACGTCCTTTGAAACCACAATGGTACAGCCCCATTCTAAAGGAGATATTGATGCCTAAAGAAATAAGTAAAGAGGAACATTGGAAAATGCTTAACTACCATAATGGAGTTTATTTTACAAGATTTGGAAATAAAGAAGGGTCAATTTCATGATAATCTTTTAGGTCGCAGTCTAAGAAAAAGGAGATTTTGGTCATCAGTGACTCTGTCAGAGGGAAAACCTTTCTAATACACATACTGGAAACGGTACATCCTCTTCGGTGCAGAAAAGTGATACTGACACCAAGAAATAAGCGAAGGAGAACCCGAGAAAGAGCTAAACTAGGTTTGGAAATAAAGAAGTAACAATTTCATGATAGATCTTTTAGGTCGCAGTCTTTTAATTACCAGAAAGCTTTGTACAAATATTTTTTCCTTTTTAGGTCGCAGTGGAAGAAAAGGGAAACTTTGACACCTAAAAAAATAAACGAATGAGAACCTAAGAAAATGCTAAACTACCATAAGCGTAGTACATTTTACAAGAAGGGTCAATTCCATGACAGATTTTTAGGTTGCAGTGGAAAAATGAAACTTTGGTCACCAGAAAAAAATTCTAAAATGAATGTCAACCCGTAAATGTCACTAGGTTAATTACCAATTATGAATGAACACTAAGGATCAAGGTATGGTCCTGAAGAAGAAAGTAAATTCAGTTGTTACTGCCATGCTTTCAATCTATTTTAAAGTCCTCATCTGGGAAAAATAACCTTAAATATGTCTACAGACTGACATATTTATGTTTTGTTTTTAGGCAATAACAAATTTCCTTGAAGACCGACTCAGTCCTGTTTCATTCCTTGGCAATGTTAGGACTGAGTTGGACTTCAAGGAAATTTGAGATCAACAGTAAAAACCATAAATAAGTCAATGTACAGACATGTTTAAAATTGTTTTGCACTGATGATGACCTTAAAATACCCGCAAAACCTCGATCCAGAGCGTTCATGGGTGAAAAATATGTCGATACTTTTAATACTGAAAACAATTATGCAATAAGTACAAATTAAATAGTATCATCGTAACTCTTTAAGAATTAAAATTTGAGTTGTATTTCTTTTTAGTGTTTTATAATGCAATATGTATTAATTATCAACTAGAAAACATAATTTGTTAAAATATAATAAGTTAATTACATTGAGAAGTCCTGGTACTGTTGAAAGAAGATTCGAATCATTTTTGCTGTATATTACGCTCCAATGATTGAATTATGGAAATCACAATCATGCATATAGATGGCAAATTGAACTTTAAAAATTAAACATTTTGCATAGTCCTATTCAATTAGGTTCTAATCTAATGTTTCTTTTTTTTAAGTTACAACACGCAATGTAATTATTATGTTTAACAATCAGAATTGAATCCTTTACTCGACTGAGTATGACATGGGTCTTAAGTCCATATGGAACCTCATAGCATATCACAACCCACTTAAATATTTACACTCTGTTAATTATGGAAACCACATGCAGATGTATCGAATGGATTCCAGGACTAAGAGGTCAAATATGATCCAAAACCAGATAATTAAAATCATAGTAGTACTGCAATGGGGCTTTATTTTTAACCAATCGACTCATTTGTTTTTAAAGTTCTATGTTCATGAGTATTAAGGTCTGTTAAGTTCAATCACAAACAACTTTTCACAAAGGGAAACAAGAGATGGAAAAACTAAATAATAAACGCTTGCTAGGGAAAAAAGCTCCATCGAGGTGTATTTGTATTTTTTTTTTTTTAAGGTAAAAAAACCGACCTAGCCGGTGTGTTGACAATTAAACCGGGATCTACATTCAAGACACCGTTTGGATCCAGGCCAAAATAGGAAAACTCAGCATGCTTCTTACCTTGACTTGTAATAAGGAATATCTGGAAAAGTGGAAAACTCGAATTTTAATGATCTGTTTCTCTGCTGATTACAACGTGAAAATGAACCAAGTGACTTGTCGATGAAAACCTAAGAAAAAGTAACGAGAAACTGAAATTTCAATCCCTGCCGTACGTCATCACAACAAAAGCAGCTGAACGGAAGGGTTCCCCACTCTGCAAACACTGCAGAAGCCACTTGCCTGATGTACTACTACAAGGGGCCGAAACGCGCCACTTTTGATTTACACGTTAAAAACACATTATTTATTTATTTATAGTCATTAATAACATTGCATTCTATCCGCCGCCGTTAAATACCTCAATAACCTACATTTAATTATTTTAAAGGTGCAAATATGGCTTTAAGCCCCCTTACATGTACATATCGCACACCCATAAGAAAAGTGACACAACTCAAAAAAAGAAAATTTTAGACTTTTTTACTCATGTATTAAGAACACTCAATTACAGTTGTTGGCAATAAAATTTTTCATGATTCACCAATATTGTCTTTCGTTTGTCCAAGACAAGTGAAAACACAAAACTTTAAAAATCCAGCTATGCTATCCCTAAAAAAACTATCCCTTTTTGAATTGGGTCTTTTTTCATACATTGACTCTCAGTAATTTAAGTTTGTTTGCTCTAACAATAATGGTGGTCAATGATTGACTAAGGGTATTAATTTTTTTGTGATAGTAACAGACAACATATAAACCTAACAAATAAGCATAAATCAAGTCTTTTATGTCTCTTCCCTTTTCTGTTTTCCTGGTCCTTTTCTCTTTCTCCTCTTCATTAATGATATTCACCTTGCTCAATCTGGTACCGAGTTTTTTCTATTCGCTGTTTACCTAAAAATATATACAACATTTTATTCTGCCTTAGACTGCATTAATTTACAAAACACTCAATAACCTTTCCAACTGGTGTTCAACTATTCTTAAATAATTCTAAATGTTTTACTAACACTTTTTCTTACAAAAAAAATCGTCTATTTTTCAGATCTTATACCATAAATCACAGCTTGTTGACCAGAGGAACTGTTATTAGAGATCTTCGGCATCATCTTTGATAGTAATCTTACCTTTCATCTACATTTACAAGAAATCAAAAATTGCTCCTATAAAACGCTTTGCTTTGTCATTCGAAGTACCTATCAGTTTAAAAATCCTTCTTGCTATGACCATCTATATAATTCACTTGTTCGACCTATTCTTGAATCTGGAATCCTCACTACTGCACTGATATAAAACTTCTTCAAACTATTTAAAATAAATTCCTTGCATTATATTTCAAATTAAACTGTCACAAAGATAAATCCTCTCATGCTTCCATTAAATCTTACTTCAATATTTCTGATAGCTGCAGAAGAAAATATTTGGAGATTATTTTCATTTTTAAATTAATAATTGTATAGTGTATAGATTTACCAGAAATTCTTGGTTAAACTCCAATTTTATCTACCTCCTTGCCACCTCAGAAATATTTTTTTTACGAGGGTTCGCAACATCAGAGGTCACATAAACCCTCAGAGTGCCGGTGTTTTTGAAAAAAAAGCCCATTTGTAAGTATGTCGAGTACAAATACAGGGCTGCTGGAATCGAACCTGGGACCTTTACCTTACAGTGATGAGTGCCGTGTCAACGCCTAAATCGTTGCGGCCACCAACGCCTCGCCAGAAAATATTTTTATTGAATATAAAGGAACAAATTTTTCACTAACTCCCCGATGGATCGCATGATGATAGAATGTAACAACATATACAATACTGTTGATTTATTTGATACTTCTATTTCCTCATTAAAACGTTAGTTTCTTAAAGCATAATAATTTTATTTAGTTAAAAAAAAACTAAAAATGAACTATGTATGTAGTTATAAGCATTGCATTGTATTTTTTTCTCCTTACTTTGTATACATTAAAAAAAAGGGTTTTTTACCTGTAAAAAAAATTGAAAATTGAATAAATAAATATCCATGTAAGTTTTAGTAAGATTATTTTTGACCCAGACTAATGTCCTTTCTTCCTGGAGACAGAGCCAATTAGATTGTTAAAACACAAAATTAATTATTGAAATAGGTTATATTAATTATTAAACATGATGTAATTAAAACATTTATAAAATCTTTGAAACTATAAAATAATGTTAATATAATAATTATTCAGAAATCGTGAGATGCGGTCTGGTGTGATGTAGGTTTCAGAAAAACATTTTCTTTATCGTACCAACCTTTCGATCTTTATTGAGATCATCTTCAGGGCTCAAAGTGTTTGTCTTCTGTGTACAGTTACATAGTTAATATAATAAGTTAAAAATACATTGTTAAAAAAATACGAAAAAACTATTTTAATTAAGAATATTATTAAAATAAAAGAAATGAAAGTAAAATAATTCATGATCACTGGATCAAGGTATGTTCTTGAAGAAAAAAAAACAAATTCAGTTCTTACTTCCAAAGTTTCGACCTATTTTAAGATCAACATAAGTAAATATATTAATTTCATAATTATGAAAAACATATTTGTACAATTGTTTTTTCATAATGTGAAATTAACATAGGCTCTGATGATGACTTTAAAATAGCTTGAACAACTGAATTTGCTTTTTTGTTCAAGACCGTACTTTGAACCGAGTATTTGTGAGTGAAAAGTGATTTATACTTCTAACATTGACAATTATAATCATTCTAAAATTAGTACTACTTTGTTCTGCCTTCTTTTTTTAGAAAATATAATTGTGGTAATTCAGTATTTATTATATTTTGATTTTTTGACCAGCAACTTCGAAGGTGAACATTCATGCTTCCCAGATTTTTTAGTGAAATCTGGAGTATTAGCATTACAGGTCAAACTTTTCTTCCCATTACCCGCTATCAAAGTGCAACGAGAAATCCAATATCCATAACATTTTGCTCTAAAGTAGTTGCCAAAGAGGTAGAATTTGAAAACTGCCAGACTTCATTATCATTATTGATGGCAGTTTCCTCGGTTGTCAACAAATTTAGAATAAAAAAAAAAGACATAACAAGTTAGTGAATGAGACTTCTCTGTGACCCAGGCTGCCACCTTCTTTTAATCCTGGTTTTTCATCCATTTTCGGTGCCATAGGATTGCAGTAGTAAAGTCCGGAGGTTGGGACATCTTGGCGTTAGTTACCTTGTCCGCCTTTCGTTACCCTCCCGGTACCCAGACAACAACCACCGTTTTGCTAGTTTGCGGTATCTCTCCAACAATTTTTTCATATTTTTGAATGTAATATATTATTTTCTCTGCCATTCATAGCAATTCCTTGTATCAAATGAAAATATAAGGAAATTCCTTGGCAGATTTCACTGATCATTTTCACCAGTTTGGTATTACACTATAATCTATAGGTCAAGTTATTGAAATTATTAAAACTGCAAAAATAAAATAAAATTAGACACGGGTAGTCAACAACAAATCAATACAAAATATACTTATTTATGTCAAACTCAACAATAACATTTTTTGTAAAACAAATTTAGATGTTAGATAAATAAATAATTTAAAAATTGATATATAATTTATTCAATTATTAATACTAGTATGAGTGGTGCCGTTTGTCCTTATCATCGAGTGCCGTGTTCAAAATTTCAAGCATTGAAATTTTCTTCTCCAATTCATTCATCTGAAAATTTTTTAATTCTTAGTATTTAAAAAAAAATTGCCATTAAATAAAACAAAACAAAAAACTTACCCTATTGCTTAGTGTATCTACGCTAGTTAGAAGTGTTCCAATCGAATTTTCTATCGGTTTTATATTAGTACCAGCACCGTTGAGACAAATTTTAACTAAATTTTCTGCTTACAATAAACAAATAAGATAACGAAAACTGGTTAAAAACAAAATATGATTTAATGATACCTTTATCAACAATTTCCGGCTGATTATCTTCATTTTGGAATTGTTCATGATCATAAGGGTCATCAGTGGTTGCATCAGTAGTGCATTCTTTATCAGATTTTATATTTGTGCTCGTACAACTGGTTAATCTAGATAGCTTGTCGAACTCTTGAGAATCCCCGTTTGAACATTCGTCCTGAAAATTTGAGATTTTTAATAAATAACAGAGGTGTAGTTTATAATGGCTTACTGTTGTCAAAGTGTGCCAGCTGCTTTTCGATTTCACCTCCCTCGATGATAATTTAGGGAGTTTGGCTTTCCTGTATCCGTTAATGTTTTTAATAAATTTCTCTTCAGTTTTCCTATCATGCTCAAGGTTAGTCTTCCACACAAAAACCTGTTTAAATATTCACAACTTCAAAATCTATTGTTATTTTTGTTTAAGTACTAGCTTACATTTTTATCCTTGGAACCCGTTGCGAAGTTTGAACCGGACTGAGAAAATGTAACAGCGGTGACAGCTTCCGTATGACCCTCGAGGGACAAAACTGGTCTACCTTCTATCAAATCGATGATCTAGAATATATATATATAAAAATAAAGCTTTCTATTTCTATGCTCAAAATTGGACAACTTTTTTTTTAAAGTTGGCAAAGGCAAACAAAAAAAATTTAAAACTTCTAATAACTATAAATCACTAATGACACATATGATCTAATGATACCTTGCTTGTTTTATCTTCACTTCCTGTTAACATAAAATTTCCATTGGGGTGGAATGAAAAATTGTAAATTTCTCCATCGTGGCAAGGATAATACTGAAGTAACTTGACATATCTCATATCATAGATTTTAATATTTTTACCAACAGCAACTCCTATGTAAGTCTTGGCGGGATGAAAATCCACATGGAGAGGACAATCTAAAAACAAACTTAAATTAAAATTATATGCCAGCTCTTCTTGAATATTTAAGAATATATGCAAACAAGTAAAATGTGGCCATTTACAAATAATTTTTTTTTTTTATTCAAATCCATTTCACCTTTGATTTCATTGAAAATGTGAATTTGTTTAGATATCCGAGTATCCCACAGTCTCACACTTTTGTCATCGCTGCAAGAAACAATCTGATTTCCATCGTATGAAAAATTTGCAAATCTCACCCAATTCGTATGACCAATCAGCGAAGCGACAAACCTGTAAAAATGAATATTGCAATCGACAATAATAAAAGGAAAAAATTATCCAACTGATATACTTTCGCCTGGACGTTCGCCATATTTTAATGCATTTGTCATCTGACGCTGTCACAAAAGTTCTTCCGTCAGGTGAAAACCTTACTGACCTGATTGTCGATGTATGTGCTTTGAAATCGAGAGACTTTCCTTGAATCTACGGAAATGGAAAAACAAGTTTAGAGAATGCTTAAAACAATCAAATTATTAAAATTACTTGTTAACCGTAATAATTTGATGCACCTACACTGGCCATCCACATACGGACAAACTGTCCTTGAGATGAACCTATTAAATTTCCACTAGGCGAAAAAGTAACATGGGTTACTGGTAATGGTTTTGCTCTATATCTGAAAAAAAAAAATCCATTTAAAATAAAACGTGCGAATCATCACAATTTTTTTTTTGAGTGTGGGATGTTAAAGTAATTCAAACCTTCTCTTCACAGTGACCTACCTATATAGGCTACTGCAGAGCCCTTAAAATCATGACCTTATGTGGAAAGTGCATTTTTACTCACAAAACTAAGCACTTTTTCGGTGCCTCATTCCACCATCATCTGGGCCAATTTATTAAAGAAAAACCAAATTAACCAAAGGAACTTAATATTAAGTTGGCCCATTGACATGGAGAAAAATGAATAACTAGGTACATGTGAATATTACAGAACATTTACAATCAATATCTTTAACCAGAATTTGAAGTTTATATAAAGTACATAATATTTTTATCTCAATGGGTCAAGTAAAATTACAACTTAATATTAAGTTACTTTGTATTTATGTTACATTGGTTTACTTTAATAAATAGGCCCTGATGATGTAATCCACCTAAAGCTTGCCACAGCCCAAAAAATTGTTTTTGCTCCGTTTTTGCTACTAAAGAAGATCTCATCACCCATCCATCATCCAAAACAATATATATTTAACTTATTTATTAACTTAACTATTTATTACGTAGTTAGGGTTTTTTCATTTTTCCCTAAAAACTAAATTAATAATAATTATTATGTTGTTATACTACTTGTGTAAGTGGAAGAATTTATTATTTACTGTAACTACTAGTATATTGTAAATATTTATTATTTAATGACAAATGAATAAACAGAATTTATAAACATAATCACACTAAAGTTGAAGCATTGCCAAAATGCATCTGACATACTAAAATGATCAGTAACGACCAAACTTTCTCTTGAGTGGAGATTTGGCAGTGTTTACAAGAAATTAGTTTTAATTAGAAAATTCACCTAAATCTATTTAACCAAGTGGTTATTGTTTTTCCTTTGGTATTTCAAAAAATATATGGCTCTGTATGTAAATGTTGAATAAATAAAGAAAGCCCAAAAACTGAACCTTGGTATACCACACAGGTAGATGTATAATTAGATAAATCAGCAAACAAATTTCTATTAGTTAAATGGCTATGGATAAAATGAATCAAATAACTGGGAAAGTATCAAGGTGATTTTGGATAACCCAACTTTTATAAAAAAAAATTCCAATTAATAATTCTTTTTATCTAAAGTCTTGGTTGAGTGTTTTATCTAAAGTGTCACGAGCGGGATCTGAACCCACGACCTTCGGCTCAATACGCCGCTGCTCTAGCCACTTGAGCTATCATGACTTTGACCCCCTCGGTCACCAACTCCCCATCTTAACCTACAATCGTTTGAATTTTCCCTATTTTTGATATATTTTCAAATGTCATGTAATCAGGATTTGATTCTCAGTGACTTATGAAGTGGCTACGGGAAGCTGTTAGTGAAGTAATTACTTCTTTTAATTATTTATCCCTATAAAACTGATTAAAGTCACTTGCAGCATATACAGTACATTACATTTGACGACTTCGGACCTCCAGTCTTACCACTTTTAATTATTAAATTAATTCATATTTGCTTAGTGGTTTTAATTGACTACATTAATTATTCCAATTAAGTATTCTTTTAAGGTTTTTGGTTGAGATGAAAAAGTTAGTGTCACGAGCAGGATTCCAACCCTCGACCTTCAGCTTAATATGCTGCTGCTTTAATGACTTGAGCTCGAATCCCATTGTATGAAGCTTTTTCATCTCAGCCAAAAACCTTAAAAGAATACTTAAATGGAATAATTAATATAGTCAAGTAAGACCACTAAGCAAATATAGATTAATTTATAAAAAGTAGCTTCTTTTTTTAAATTATGGCGCGAAGTGTCACTGTCATGAAACCATCAGTGACAGCCTATGCCCTATGATACTTTATCACTCATAGTCCAGATAATGGCATCTTTTTATTATCCAATATTTCTCAACACAAGAACAACAGTTTTTATTGGTAATAATAATAGGGCATTTTAGAATGTTTTCAGACCTGAGGGAACCTTTCGATGATGCGAGGTTCCAGTTCATGAAAGTCTTGTCGAGGCTGGCCGAGGCGAGCTGCTTTCCGGAGGGGCTGAACGCCAAGCAGGTGACGGTCCCGCCGTGTCCGATGAAGTGCTGTTCGAGGACCGGGTCCTGCCATTCCATCCCGCGGGAGGCGGACGACGGCGAATCACAACCTCGAGACGTTTTGGAGTTTTTTCTTTTTTTTTTACTCGAAAATGTTATTTCCCTCGGGGGAAACAAATTCAATTTGAACCGGGACTTGACGCGGGGCCAACTGTGAACTGATAACAGTCCGTCACCAACGGGTTCAGAGACTCACCTTCCTAGTAACGGTTTCTCGTGTAATATCGATACCTATAAAAATCGATTATATGAACAAAGTAAACAGATATTTTCTTTGTTATATTAATTTTTTAAATATATTTTAATTAATTTTTTATTTTAAAATGCATATTTGCACAAAACGATACTTTTCTTCTACGACATCAATCCAAGCCGTTGCAAAATTCAGTTTTACTACTAGATCGATACAATAAACTATCAATAAATTAGAAAATAGATTTATTTTTATAGCTGCTGGTGACATCAACAATGCTAATTTTTAATAATGTTAAAAAAAATCAAATGAAACCCTTTTAATAATAATAAGTATTTGTTTGACGAATTTAACGGAAAAATAAATATCTATGATAATAATAAAATTAATTTTGATCTTGGAATATTTTGACAACCAATGGGGGCTAAGACAGGGCGACCCATTCTCTCCTATCTTATTCAACATGTATTGGAAGAAATATTCAAAAACATGCACTTAAAAAAACTCGGCAAGAGTGTAAATGTACATGTAGAAGACTAACGCATCTTTGTTTCTGAGATAACATTATAATATTTGCAGAAACTCTACAAAAAATTATTGTCTAGAATAGGAAAGCTACTAAATGAGCCTACATATACAGATAGAGAGGAAGAAAACTACAATGCGCCAAGGAAATGTTTTATTTAAGACAGCTTGTTAGTTTCAAGGAAGATAACAGCCAAATCTTGAGGCAAATAATTGAAATATTCAAAAACATGTACATAAAAAGACTCGGCAAGAGTGGAAGTGTACATGGAGAAGATTAACGCATCTTCCTTTTACAGATGACATCATAATATTAGCAGAAACTCTACAAAAAACTTTGTCATGTCTGAAAACGGAAAGCTACTAAGCAAGCCTGCATATACAGATAGATGGGAAGAAAACTACAATGTGCCAAGGAAACATTTTATTTAGGATGCTTGTTAATTTCATGGAAGGAGAATAGCCAAATCTTGGAGCAGATAATTGAAATATTCCAAAACATCCTTAAAAAGACTCAGTAAGAGTGGAAATGTACATGGAGAAAACTAACGTATCTTCGTTTCTGAGATAACATCATACAATTGCAGAAACTCTCTCTCTGTAAAAAAAAGTAGAAAAAGAAAGCCACCTGCATGTCCAGTTAAAGGTAAGAAAACTACAATGGACACTGGCTCGCAGACCAATAACCTCTGTTCCTCACTGAAGATGGTGCCTATAGGTTTAAGAGGCATCAGAACCTACAAGTGTAGACCTCATTCCTCAGTGCCAGTATAACAATGCGGAGATGGCTAGTTATATAAATAAATAAACAATTCTTGGGTTTAAAAAAGTTTACTGAGAGAATTTAAAAAAGTTAAAAGTTCGAACATAAATATTTTAAATTATAATTTGATTATTTTATTAGTAAATCAAATGTTTTATAATACAATAAATCCAAATATTTTGTAAGTGATAATTTGTAAAGTATCGATTTGTAGACGAGATCAAAAAGTTTGTAAATTAGACGAAATAAGGAGGCTTCCTTATGTTGATGCCGTGTTCTGCGAGGGCTGGCGTCAAATCATCCATAGTTAAAGTGTAAGTCCTGTCTTTTGTTTTGGACTTTGATGACTGGTTCGAAGTTCGGACTTTGCAGTGCTGAAGGGCGTCGTTGGACACATCGGATATGAATTTCTGCGCTGCCAGGGAAATTAGACGCACGCTGTAACATATATTAAAAAAAAATGAATGCTGAAATCTCTATATTGAAAAAATATATGGTACTTACACTCTTGGATCACTAGAAGCGAATCCAGCAGAGTTGAGAAATGCACCAGTGACCGAGTCAGGAATCTTAAATATACAATTTAAAAAATTAATTATAAAATCAAAGGAGAGATGAATATGTACATTACAGTTGGAGTGTAGTCTTCTAAAGCGGGTAAAAACTCAATTAGCTGCTGCCCTGTTCCAGCCTGCGAGCTGCTGTTCGCCGAAGTGTTGGTTATGTTTGTGAGCGGTGTTTTCGAATCAACATTAGCTGATGTGCTCTGATTGCCATTGTTGACAGACCTTAAATATAAATTAATTTTTAGATATTTAAACTACAGAGAAATGAAAAAAAAAGAAGTTTTATGGTCTAAAATTACTATCTAATGAAATGTTTCCATAGCTAATATACTGTCAGCAGTTGACATTTAAGACAAAGTCAGTTTAAAATTAAGAGTGTAATCAATGAGAAATGATTTCTGTTTTGCTAGGTAACGGTTGCCAAGATTGTCCTAACTGTGATTAATTGAAAAACTACTGAAAACTTGAAATCCTGTACAAGACCTGTCCATAGAGGTTGTCTAATAAAACACAGTACTGTTTATTTTCATTATTGAGTAATTGTAGAAATTAAACAATACTTAAACTTTTATTGTAAACGAACTTATTAACTCAGAAGTAGAAGCATGGATAACATGATAAGATAAAAAATGGTAAATTAGTCACTGACTGCACAATGTAACAATTGAAAATTAAGTTAATGAATGAGTAATATGAGGCAAAATGTTTTGTTTTGTCTACTCAAAATATTTAACATGTAAAGTACATTTTTAACAATAACTAAAGATCACACTAACTTACTGCCTTAGAAGTTGAAGCAAAATGTGAATAAATAAATTAAACAACCACTATCAAAATGGTCAATAAATCACTGACTTCACCAATGTTATACTTGAAAACTAGTCAAGGAGAAAGGTTTTCCGTTTTTCCAGTCAAAAACATTTGACAGGTGAACTTATTTTTTAACAATCAGCAAAATTGACCTCCTAGATCAATTGAGAAAATTGTGATGTTAAAAACATGGTTGTTCTACACTCATAATCAAAACACTTTTATAGATATTTTCCTATAAGATCACAGCACTGTTTGTGATTATTAATCAGTGATTCTTAAAAAAATATTTGAGCGGTATAACAATAAAGTTGGTAAATGTTCTTCAAACCTACTGGCTTAGAAATAAAAGGAAAAGGAGAATAAGACAAGAAGTTGAAAACATTCATGGTTAAAATGTGTGGTGATTAGTGACCGTTAGTTGATGATTATTAAGAAATCGTGAAATGCGGTTTGGTTATCACGTAAGATTTAGAAAAACTCTTTCTCGTGCCAACGTTTCGATCTTTATTGAGATCATCTTCAGGGCCTGGGATTTACAAACATTGTTTAAATTTAACAAAAACATGTAGGACGTGGAAAAAAGTGAATTTATACAATGCAAAAAAATATTTTTTTATATTCAATAAAAGTGAATAGAAATATTTTGATTGGATAAAAAAATTTTTTTTGCATTGTATAAATTCACTTTTTTCCACATCCTACATGTTTTTGTTAAATTTAAACAAGTTTGTAAATCCCAGGCCCTGAAGATGATCTCAATAAAGATCAAAACGTTGGCACGATAAAGAAAATGTTTTTCTGAAACCTACATCACACCAGACCGCATCTCACGATTTCTGAATAATTCATGGTTAAAATGGTCAATAAGACACTGAGTGTGTACACGGAAATTAAGCATGTAATCGAGGAGAAAGGTTTTCTAAATTTCCTATCAAAAACATTAGATAGATGGCCTACTCTTTTAACAATCACCATCTGGTTGATTGATTTGTGATATGGAAAGCATGCAATTCTACATTTATAATCACATTTTTACAGATAACCACTATAAGCACACAATGTTTTTTTATTATAAATCAGTAATTATAAAAACAATTCAAGCTGTATAACATCATAGTTGGTAAGATGCTAATCAAACCTACTGTTTTTAACAACATAAGCAAAACTTAAACAACATAAGAAGTTGAAAACAATCATGGTTAAAATGGTCAATAAGTCCCTGATTGTACTAATGTTACAGTTGAAAATTAATCGAAGTGAAAGGTTTTCTGATTTTCCTAACCAAAATATTTGACATGTGAACTGATATTTCAACAATCACCAAGATTTACCAGACAGATCAGTTGAGAAAAACATAAAATCTGATACTCATGATAACATAACTTTTACAGACAACTTTAACAATTAGTTAATTACTAATTGTACAAAGTAAAAACAAAATAATAGTAAAACACAAATATTTGCTAAGTTTCTTAAACTTACGCCATTGTCGATGAACTTAATTAGCTTAGAAGTAGAAGAAAAAAATGTATAACAAGTTGAAAACAATGGTCAATATTTTCTCAATAAGTCATTATTGACTGTGCCGATGTATGGTTATACTTTCGGTCAATGGTGTAAACTGACTTTTATTAGTTCTGATTTATATCGATAGATTTAGATCGATATGTTTTTATTGAATCATTACAATTTTATTATTGTTATTATTTTAATGTTTGATTTGTTATATAAAATTACGTTGGCTTAACATTTCAATTTGGTCACAGTGTAAACTATAAAGTTAGTTTGGCGATGGGATGATCAATGTTGATGTGTTTTATATGTTTATGTAATATGTTGAAGACTTTGGTATGTTTTGGTGCGGAAGGGTTTGACAAATTGAGATTTCGTTTGTGAAAAGTGTTCTCGGCCTGGGAGGAGAATTGTAATTTCATTAAATCAGAACAAGTTTTGATTTTTATCTTTATGACCACGTCGTCCGTTGGGTTTGTTTATTGTCGTTTTTAAGAGGCGGCCTGTTTTTATTTTTTAAAATTTTTGATGTCTGAGAACGACGACTGGGAGCTGGCGTGTTCCGACGAAGAGAAATACGAAGTGAAACTCCACGGGCGGAAGTGGCAGCCGCCGGTCGAGAGGATCGTCGAGCTGTTCGAGAAGTTGTCCGGCTCGGACGAAGGCCTCCTGCCGATCTCGTGGACGTGCCCGGGCCGCCGGCCGCCGACCCCCGAGGCCAAGGAGGAAGACGCGGGCCAGGACGAGGAGGAAGAAGGCGACAAACCACAGGAAAAGGACACCTACCTCGACTTCGAGGATGAAAACGCGAAACTCTGCCTCCGGCCGGCGGGCGACGTCGGACCCAGGGGAAGCGCCAAGAAGAAGACCACCAGCCTCGACGCCATCCTCTCCAACATGGCAAGGCACAGGAGGATGGACATGATGGACGAAGACCCAGATCCATAAACCAGAAATTTATTTTTGTACTAAACATTTTGTAAATATATTTTATTTTATGCATTTAACTTGTGCGAACACACCTAAGTCCTCTTTCAGAGGTTTGGTTGATTCAACCAAGTTGCCCGGTTGACTCTCAACTAGTTTACTGCCACATGAAGACTTTATTTACTGGTTTCACACCAGGCAACTTATGGAATCAACCACTTCCCAACGGGAGATCAGTGCGATTTTAGAACTCGAAGCAGGAGCACTTCTTGTGCTTGCTCTTTTGCAAAAAGGGAAGCAAAAAAGGAGGAAATCCAGTAAAGTGTGGGTTTATCCGTTGTTATAAAATTGGGAAACAGGCGCTTTCTCACAAATACTGTTGTACAACCCTCCAAGCTTCACTTGTTTTACTTTTGTCGCTATACTCCTCACACCCCATGTCCCATATTGCAGGGACTAATACAAATTTCTTCAATGAACTGCTCCACATTGAAACTTGCAATTGTAATGTTTTCTGACTCAACTAGGTGACTGGTGTGAAGGACGAATGACGAGCAGTGTCTTTTGTGTTGAGTCAACCAGTGTTGTGTCTGCTGGCCACTCACCTGTGAGGATGAGTTGAAGGAGTTGGGGCGGTTCACTAATTTGCTACTTGGGCTACACTCCTTGACGCCTGTCCATTGAATCAACTAGCCACCCGGTCTGAAAGAGGCCAAACAATTCACAAAAAAGTCTGAGTGCAACATAAACCAGCAAGAGAATGCAAATCTAGAAAACCTATAAATTTTCAATCAGTTTTGCATATCAATAATTACCATCAACTTAATCTTACAGTGTATGATGATATTTGGTTAATAAAAGGCCTTAGCAATTAAAGATTCATTGAAAGAAATAATATGAAGGTGGTGTGAGTACGTTTACACTTTTTATAAATGATAGTTCTTACTCCCAAGTTTTATAATTGTAGGAATTCTGACCATTAAATGCTCATCATCAGGTTAAAAGAGTTACAAACATGTCTCTTCTTGCAGCAACTGAACATATCTGCATGCAAACAGAGATAGTTCCTCAGGATTTAGTGAATCTCTCCATTCCACAATCACAGTTGGCTTATTCAGGCACATTTGCTGATCAGCATAGTTATGTGAAGATCATGTTGAGAAAAATTAAATTCTTATTATGTACTATTCACAGATTTTGATGTTTTATAACCATACTGCTTTAATACATGATCTGTTGTATGAGTCAAAGAATCATGTTTTGAAAAAAATTGGTCATTTGTGGGTAGTTCTGTCAATTTTGTGCTAGAGAATAAATTACCTTTTTTTTCTTTACTGACAATTAAGTATAGAATGTTTCTAACTATTTAGGCACTTTTCAGTGGTAATAATTTAGATATGTATGAATTATTCCATAAAAAATTGACTTTATGTTGCTTTAACAATAAACTTCCCTGTGAAAAATGACTTACACCATTTGTGCATGACTTAATAAACCGCTGCATTTTCATTTTAGTCACTCACAGAAAGAGAAAAAAAAAGTATTAAGCTTATCATAAAGGGAAAAAGTATTAAATCAAACTATGTTTCGGGATAATCTAGGAGTGGTATTAAAGCAATCAAGTCTTCTTCACTTGGGTCATCACATTCAAAACGTCCAATGCCATAATTTCTTTGGCAGTGTCCAAACTAATAAAGAAGGAATGATGAACAGGGATGAATAAACGGAAGCTAGTCCATCTTGTCCTTTTTTTGGCTTCAGTGACAAACCTTGTTACGGTGTAGAACCATCGTTGCATGATTTGAGCAAAATGGTATGCTGATTCTTAGCAGTTGGCAGTCAGTGTGTGAAACTTCTTTAGATCGTAGTTTTATTTGTAAAACATAACATGTGGAATGTTGTGTCTGAATTGCACCAGCTTAAGCTTAGCCACTGCAGTTCTAGTAAAGTGATAAATTGTGGACCTGTCATTGCATATAAATAATTAACATCAACATAATCATTGATGTGTGATACACACGTAATAAGTGTTTGATGATATTTGGTCGAGAAAAGGACTCAACAATGAAAAATTCAATGAAGAAAATAATGGTTTGAGTATATTTTCACTTTTTATAAATGATGGTTCTTACTCGCAGGTTTTGTTGTTTACAATTATAGGGATTCCGAGCATAAAACACTCATCATCAGGTTGAATGAGTTTCAAACATGTCTCTCGACATGAATTGGAATTTAAAAGTAAGATTCATTGCTTGCATCTCATCAAACATATCTATATACAAACACAAATAGTGCTGAACTTATTTAAAGCCCAACTATCCAAGGCTAAATTGAGCCTTATTCTCTATTTTTCATCTCTACTTTTCCTAGTTCGTTTTGGTCCTATTCTCAAAGTGTGTACGTGGTCTGGAAGTTGATGAATGCAGGATTGTGGTAGCCGAGTGGTTAAGGCATCAGACTCTGGCTAGTAGATCCTGCGGTCGTGGATTCGATTCCCACACGGGGCTTTTTTTTATGACACCTAACGGGACTAGTCTCCGTAATGAAAATTGACACAGCACTCATCAATGGAATCAATCGAATCTCAGTGACCCTGAATTTGGCTCCAACCCCCTTCAAAAATGAGTTTCTTGGAATTCACAATTTTATATTGTGAAATTGTACCTATGTCAATTTTATATGCAAACAGCTAAATTACAGAAACATTTGACTGAATTTCCAATTAAGGAACTTCTAAGCCTCTTTTACCCAGACTCCCTATACAAAAACTGCGCACAATTTGTAAAATCATTAGGAAATAATATTTTTAGAAGAGTTGAATATCATAAAGTCACTTTATAAATATCAATTTGTTAGAAATCTTTCCTTTTTGACAAAATGGAAACCTGTGAGAATTTAAAACGAAGCTATCTTCAAATTTATTATTAATCCCACCCTACAAATTAGTTTTTAATTATTATAATAGATACCTTATTATTCTAGCCCACTCCATGATTTTTCAGTCAAAAACCGACTAGTTGAACGATTGACAATGACGGTTACTAGTTTTCAGTTGAAAACAAAAGATGGGAAGTTGGATGAGTTTGTTAAATACCAATTTTGGCCAACAGATAGCATGCCAAAATGGATCAGGTTCAAATTTTCAAAATTAAAGAAAAATAGGCAAATAAAAACGAAACACATTAAATGTAATTGTTGATTTATTTCTTATATACACTATACATTACCAAATATTCACAATTTCCACCTAAATACAACTTATCTTTACAAAAATTTATTTACTATTTACACATTGTTTACTTTATAAAAAATATTAATTATGGTAATTTACAAGGAAATGAAGTTTATCGTCTACCTCTGTAGTAATAATACCGACATCCTATTAAGCGTACCAACGCAGAAAAAAAAGAAACCCTATTTGACTTTCTAGTTCAGTTGGCAGTGGAAATAATCCATCAATAGTGCATTGACTATAAATTGTAGTGACAACACTTTTTTTTAAACCTAAGTGATTTTTTTGTAATTTTCCTTACCCCTAAATTGCACATTTATTGCAATTAAAACATCATAAATAGAACACAATTCACAGTAAAAAAATTCTACTTATCAAAATAAAATTTTTAAAATAAAATTTCCTAAATGCATACAAAAATGAAATGTATTGAAATGATAATTGATCAGCAGTTCTGTATGTAAAATTTAAATAAAACAATTTTAATATAAAAATGCCATGCATTGGACATTTGTTGGATAAGGACTTTGCTTTAATTTAAATTGTACACTTATCCTTGTAAGGTTTTCCATAAGGTCCCAGTAAAACTTTCAAGTTGGAGATGATCTCAGCCTCTCGCTTCTGCTTAGGTACGTGTACCAATAGAAAAGGTTTATTGCAAGGAAAAATATAGGAAAAACTATTCTCGATGCTCGGTCTATTTTTGAAACGCTGTTGAACCTAGGCGCTCTTCTTTTTCTCTTTTTTGACCTGATCGGTTTTGAAGGCGGGGGAGGCGGATGGTGCTCAACCGGTGTTTCGACTCGCGGGCAACCTGGAATTTTGATCATTAATATTAATTCAAAACCGGCATAAATTGCTGAATTTCATACAAGATGGAATTCCAGAAGACCATGAATCACGTCTGCCACTTATTGAAGATATCGTACAAGCGTTTAAAGGTATTACCTGCAAAACGATACTTTATTAATGTTATAATTGTTTATTTTTAAAAATAGAATTAAACAATATAAAATTACCTCAAGATAAGGAGTGTCACCTGAAGTGGCAGGACAATTATTTGATTTTCGCCTTGAATAGCTAGAATTACTTGATTTCCTGGAACTTGTCTGTAAATTAATCAATACATTTTATAAGTGGCAAAACTATATGATTCAATTTTGGTAAAATGTCAAATGCATCATAGAAAAAATTGATGGCTAAATTTATTTTGAAAAAAAAAGTCTCAAAATGATTTTATATAAAAAGGGAATTTGTGACATGTGATAATAGTATTGAGCTTGACGTCAATCAATAATGTTTTTAAATAATATTACCCCTCTGACCATCTAATAACCAAGAGAATGGTCTCTTACTCATTTTTAAAAAAAATTGTTTATTATTAAATAATAATATTTTTTTTCTATTGCACTAAGTCAGCATTGCTCCTGAAGGGCAAATATCTAGGCTGGTACTCTTGCTACTGAAAGATTAGGGGACAAGTAGGTCTCTCTAGGAGGATGGGAGTAGTAGAGAGGGTAACGTAAGGTTAAAGTAAGACAAAAGAATAGAGAGGAACTTCAAGAAATGGGAACGGATCAAGTCTTGAATGAAGGGAATGTTGAGGTCACTTTGTATGGCAAGTTAGAGACGTAGTAGAGTTCTTCCGAGGAGTTTTGATTGCAATGCTTCGATGGGATCCATTATCTAGGATGGCTTTGTAGTACCCTTAGTTCTGCTCTGTATGTCCCCCTATAGGTAATGTTTTGTAGTTTTTGTTAGTCATGTCTGATTTCCGACCTAGCAGTCTTCTTAGTTGTCTAAGTTCTTGCCTAGTGTGAGTACTGCATGCCAGTCTGCTGTCTAGGTATAGTTCCAAGAAATTCACTCGTGTGGATATCAGTACTTCCTTGTTGTTTGCATATGGCCTAAGGAAAGTTTTTTTTTTTTAAATTTAAAAGTGAACTCAGTGCATTTGTCCAATTTAACCATTCACTTTTTTCATTAGATGAATTCGAGGTGTTCCTTGACATTGGCAGTGGCTAGTATGGGGTTTGGGTTCGTACAACATTTCAGTATCATCATGATGTAGGAATGGATGATTGTACAGTATACAAGATGGAACCAAGAACCTGTTTGGGATGCCAGCTTGGATCGGTTTATATACAAAAACTCATTGCCTACTCTGAAGCAGTGATTGATTAGGAAGGATTTCAGGACTGGGTAGGAACTGTTTTAGCTTGTAGAAAATTCCCGGATGCCAGATTCTGTCAAATGCTTGAGTCATATAATAATAATAAACTTTTAATACATAGAATTATTAAACTTTATTATATAATGTATAATAATATAGCCATGTGTCCATTTATTATTGATATTGATAGATATTGGTGTTTTACATAATTGGTAGATCTCATAAAAAAGTCTGCATGTAATATTCCAAATCTTGGGAATTGCATTTAAATTCACATACAACATGACAAATAACTGATTAATTTATAATCTTGAATTCTTTCAATTAAGTTATGCTAAAAAGGGAAAATTAAATCAGTGAGACTTGGTGGACCAAAATACAAATTTCTGTGCTTTTGTTAGTGGATGAGGGGACTTTATAAAACTTTTTTTTATAAATTAATTTCTGAATAAAATAAATTTACTTACACCTTGATTTCTTCTTGATTCCGAAGTGACCCAAATTTCATCGTCTGAGCTCGACTCGTCCGAGCTGAAGTCTGAACTGAAGTAGCATTCCCCAGAGCCGTATTTGGTGAAATAGTGAACAACAGCGAACTAGAGACCAAAAGGAAAAGGATAAAGACATCCTTTTGGGAGATGCAGTAAAGTAAGTTCACCTGAATAATCGTCGCGAAAATAAAGCCGAAAGACAAAAAGACGAAGAAATCGAGAGCAGTAGGGTAAGGAACTTTGGGCAGATCCGTCCTCGCCTCCAAGCCTAAGAATGTCATCGTAAGGACGGTCGTGATACCTGAAAAAAACAAGATCAATAAGGACAAATCTCGCAAAATCGCAATTTTGATTATAATATGTAGGCCGAAGTAAAAATTTACCAGTTTTGATTCCATCTAATAAATATGCATGCAGATGTGTATTTATTATTCATTCTCACGGTATACTGACCGTGTTGGAATAATTTCAAGCCCAATTTAATTGTTTTAAACAGAAATTTCGTGATAGAATTAAAAAAAAGAATTTTTGAAATGAAATATAGTGGTTCTTGAAAAACGGGCTGGTGACAACCCATCGTGCCAAATTTTGGCATAAGCTTCACGCACGTGAATATTCGATAATTTCTAAATATAGCGAGAGAGGGCATTACACGCCTGTGCCAATACGCTCACGGCCAAGTTCACCCTAGGATAAATTTTTCTCCCCGTGTAATATAATGCATTATGCTTTGACATGAAACGATTCGAAGATGGTAGGAGCATAACTTGTCAATTAGTACATTTTGTCTGGCAAATGCCTAAGTTTCAACTTATTTTAAAGCAGATCCTGTCGTATATTACCACGAAAATCTAAGGAAGTTGTCTCTTGTGTTCAAGAATAGGTGGGCCCGAATTAAAAGTTCACTTTATTACTTTTTAAAATCACTACTTTAACAGTTAGAAAAAAATGCCATAGCGCTCAATGTATTGATTTAACATGCACATTCATATTTCTATTAAATTGGTTATTCATTTATTTTTAGAAAGACGATGTAATTCGATTTCATCGCAATTGAACTATTTAAAATTGTAATGAGATTTTCAGCTTTTGGTATATAAATTATTTCATTGAATTTATTTCCTATTACGCTAACAAACGGTGAAATGGCAAATCGTTCGTCAAATCCCAGCCCAATTGTAATAATTTTGACCTCATCACCGACGAAATGAACCCTCGAATTATCGGGAATGATACAATTTTTAGAACAATTTTGACCGTTTTTCCATTTTACTTTGTTTCATTTGGTTGTTGGAGTCGGTAACAAAGCAAAGGACGTGGTAACAGGTTCTCAGCAATCTTAAGAAATAAATTTAGAGAATCTCTCCATTCATCTATCACGGTTGGTTTATTTATATACATTTGCTGATCAGCATAGTTCCGTGAAGAATATGTCGAGGAAAATAATGTACTATCCACAGATTTTGATGTTTTGTAACCAAACAACTTTAATGGAGAATACATGAGCCCTTGCGTGCAAAAGTGGTGTAAGCCAAAAAATCAAGTTTTGAGAAAATTGTATGAAAATAAAATTATGTTTATGGGTAGTTCACTAAATTTTGAGCTAGTGAATAAATTATCGTTTTTTCTTCACTGACAAATCGGTATTGAATGTTTCTAACTATTTAGGCACTTTTCATTGGTAATCAATTAGAAATGTATGAATTATTCCATCAAAAATTGACTTATGCCACTTCAGCAATAAACTTCCCTGTAAAAAATGACAAACCACTTTTGCATTTAACACACCAAAAAAATCAGGAAGAAAAAGGCATAAAAATCGAATGAAAAATCATGGGAGTAAAAGAAGAGCACAGGAAAAATTGCAGCATCATAAAGGGAAAAAAGTAATAAATCAAACTATGTTTCGGGATAATCTAGGAGGGGTATTAATGCAATCAGGTTTTCTTCACTTGGGTCATCCCATTCAAAAGGTCCAATGCCATTCATCTCTTTGGCTGTCTTCAAACTAATAAACAAGGAATGATGACCAGGGAAGGTAGTCCATAATTTTTTTTGCTTCAGTGACAGGCCTCATTACAGTGTGCCGTCGTTGCTTGATTTGAGCCAAATGGTGTGCTGTTTCTTAGCAGATGGCAGTCAGAGTGTGTGCAACGTCTTTACATCGTTGAGTGTTTGTTTGTAGAACATAACATGAGGAATGTCCTGTCTGAATTGCATCCAGCGTAAGTTTAGCCATTGCAGATTCAGTAAAGTGATAATCGATCTGTTATTGCATACCAATAATTACCATCAACGTAATCTGACAGTGTATGGCGATATTTGGTCAAGAAAAGGCCTCATCAATGAAAAATTCATTGAAAGAAATAATGGTTTGAATATGTTTTCACTTTTTATAAATGATGGTTCTTACTCGCAAGTTTTGTTGTTTACAACTAAAAGGATTCCGAGCATTAAACACTCATCATCAGGTTGAAGGAGTTTCAAACATGTCTCTCGACATGAATTGTAAGAGTAAGATTCATTGCTTCCAGCTCACCAAACATATCTGAATCCAAACAGAGATTGTTCTGAACTTACTTAAAGCCCTGCTATCAAAGGACATGGCTAAATTGAGCCTCATTTTCTATTTTTCATCTGCATTCATAGTTACCAATCGTTTTTGTACTATTCTCAAAGTGGGTACGCAGTCTGCACATCTGTGGAACTGGGTCTATCTATTCTCGTAGGTTTCGATACTAAACGCGTTTTGGCGTTGGTCATCTTCAATAAAGAAGTCTGTTTCGTTGCGTGTGACCTTGTTGACGGACCCAGTAAGTGACTCCGAAAATTGCTAATCATAGACATATGATTCATCATATGAGATCATCATAAACATAAGGATACGAAATCAATAACCAACATCGCAAGGCTGCAACAATAATAATACTAGATCATCTATCTTGTAATGGTATGTATATCAAATAGCCAGGCAGCTCTAAAGAATCTCTAAGCCTACAAGATCAATTCAAACCTTGACTGTAACTGTTTAAATACCCTAAAAGACCACTAACCAATTTGAGGTCCTTACTATCCATAGACTGACAACATATGGGCAAAGAGCGAAGCTTTACAGCCAATCACTACAGACAATTCCGGCCGTTGAGCATACTAACCAACAGTGAAGGACCATGGTACACGATGGGTCATAATTTGGGCAGTGGGAGACGACATGTAGCGAAGCCAAATAAGGTTAAATTTTTAGTTAATAAGGAAAAAGCCATATCAACAAAACCTTTCTGTAATGCTTAAATACCCTAAAAAATGGTAGTAACAAATAACGTAATATTAAAGTGGGTCCAAATCCATGAGGGAATTTAAAACGAGGCTACTAGCTAAAACGGGAGGCCCAAATCCATTTTGTGATATAAATTATAGCCATATTAAAAAATAAATTCCATCTTAGGTTACTAAATAACTCAACAAATACTGGGAACGTATGCCAAATATGAATCAAGCAAAAAGACTATTCTCAAAACTAACATATAGGAGAAAGACGAAATCTTATTCATCAAAAGGGGGGGGGGATCAAATACCCTAACAGGTATATTTACGGGGCATGAATAAAATGCCCTTTAAAAAATGGGATTATTGGCAGATTACCAATGACACACCAATGAAAACAGCCAGCTCTTTTGTCGCGCTTTCATGGAATTTATACCTTTTTACAACAGGACTTCGAGTTAATCATTAATTTACAAGTTTAACAATCATGAACTGTGTAAAACTAAAATTTACAAAGTAGTAGATCTAATATAGCCCGTCTATAACAAAACTATTCATAGAAAGCTCGACAAAGGTACTGCGTTTTGTCTTTCTAATTAGCCCTATCCCTGATGTTTTTTAAACTAAACTTTTATTAGCTATTTTGGGAATTTGATACAAACCCAATGAGACCCTGTCCGCGGTTGCTTCTCTGTTGAGCCAAAAGGAGACCCAAGAGAGTACGACGAGGAGGACGCAGGGGCCGTACACTTGTATCAGAAAGTTTCCCATATGCCTCCGAAGGTGGAAACTCACAAGCAGCATGGAATAACGTCCTGAAAATCAAGCGGAAGGTTTAAATAAATATACATTAAATAAAACGTTTTAATGTGATCATATTAATGAGCCCATGTATTTATACCATTTGGATAAAAGTATTTTAGAGTAAGCCGGTTTCAAACGTTCTAAACGTTTATGGAATTCCTTCTCGTCTTTGTATTATTGTTGTTGGTATAATTTCAAGTCTACGATATTGAATCCTTTTTGAAGAATAATATTTCTATTTTAATAAAAAAAAGAAGTTTCTCCGCTGAAAACGAGAGTTTGGTTAGCATGAGACATGGCGACTGATCACTGTCAACGGACCCGGGTTCGAATATCAGCGGCCCTGAATTTTGAAGTTCGGTTGTACAAATTTATATTTTAAAGTATGTTGGGTAAGAATTCAGGGCCCCGAGATTCGAACGCAACAAACTTACAATTAGGTTACGTTACAAGTAGTTTTTTGTTTAAAGTGTCAGATTTCCTCTTGAGATCTGAGAGTTGACAAATTGTGCCGATCACTTGTAATTGGATCGTTTACGATCATTTTTGTGTGCTTATCTTCCCGTTTTGTTCTGTCAGACGCTTTTAAGCTTCTCACCATCTTCATCGGTGTGTTTGTAAATTTGAACTGAGGCGAAATGCCAAAACGTGCGACAGATCAAACCAGCCAAGATGGGCTGACTAAAATGTTCGGAAACGACCAAACTTAAGATTTTTTATTTTGTCGTTTTGACATAGCCACTGGTTGCTCTTTGTGCTATTTAATCAATCGTGACCTTTTACAAGTTCGTTCAATGACGCAAGCCTACCGGTGAGGATGGCGAGAAGACGAAACGCGCCTGACAGATGAAACCAGCGAGCATAAGCAGGACGAAATGTTCGAAAACGACCAAACAACGGCAAAATGTATAAATTCAATAAATTCTAGATACCTCATTGCACCCACCCGTAAAAAGAACAAAATAATTTAGTAAATACAAAATAAGAGCTAACCACAGTTGAAACATGACAGATAATGATATCGATTAGATTATTTTCATAAATCATGTCCAGTGATTCTATGTTGTTTCCTCTTTATTAAAATACACTGATTTAATTGATACCAATCTGAGTGGTATTTCTCCTTCCTTGTAGTTTTTTTGCTCGTAGTTATATTGGTAATTTGCTACGCTGGTTATGACCTAAGCTCTGTTTCTGCAAGTTTGTATACCTGTCAAGTAATCCTTTAACGAATAAGTACTTAACTAAGTTACTCCGGTTGTTTTGCAGTTGTCCCGATCCCTAAATAATGAGGTACCACTGGGTATAGTCGACTTCATGAAGATTCATAATCCTGAAGAAATATGGTGTTGTATATATATTGTTTACTTGACCTATAAAATCTAAAAACTTATTGTTTTATTTTTTCAAATAAGAAGAAAACCTCTTATTGATAGTTTGATTAGTCATTTTTGAACTTACTACTTCTTCTGCAGCACCAGACAATACAGGCGCGGTTCAGTAATTAAATCACGGTTTAATTAAAATCCGATGACTGGATTCTTGTTTAATTAAGTCTTTTCAAAGGTCGTAATCGAATTTTTGGCCTATCTGAAAAACCTGCGAAGCTTTTTCGCCCACACAATAAGTCGTTGAGGCACATTTTCCGGATGCTTCCTGTTTCCCATTCTTTCCGGCCGAGAAAATGAATTGTCCAAAACAGGCGTAAACTTATTGGTTTTTGTGAAGTTTAATAAAGTCGCCCACATTTCCTTAGATCATATAAACAATAATTTGGCCATTGAGGATCGTGAGTACAAGGCACCTACACTCACGCCATATAAAACTCGACTATAAAAATTCCATTTCATAGTTTATAACGAAAAGTGGGAAGAATAAAAAAAATATATTATCATCATATATAGCATACAAATGTTCTCAATATTGCCAATCGTTTGCGTAGATAAAATTCAAGCATAAGCGTATTTTCTCCGTTGGGACTCCGTGGCGCAACGGTAGCGCGTCTGACTCCAGATCAGAAGGTTGCGTGTTCAAATCACGTCGGGGTCATTTTATTTTTATTACCATTTCATTCGTATTCTCTTCATTTTAAACGATAATCGGTTTTTAATAGAAATGATGATTGTGGATTGAGTATGTAAATTCACTTTTTGTAAATGATGATGTTTCATCAACACAGATTTGTTGTTTGCAACGTTCCGGATTTCAAGCATTAAACCATAATCAGATTTTCCGATCCCCCGCCATCCGACTTTCCAATGAGAAGCTATTTTTAATGCCGCTCAATTTTGAACTTGCGAAAAACGTGAATTACAACAAACTTGGACGCTCGGGAATCCTTTCCAAAGGAAGCTCAAAAATGCAAAATGGTGAAGCCAGAGGGTAGTAACTGCCCCGGGAAGAAATCACCACGCAGAGCCCTCTGGGGAGGTTTTGTACAAGGGGTGCTACCAATCGTTGAGCTGAGTGGACAATGGTCAATTTGTCACTAGTCAGTTACAGCTGTTACCGCCAATGCCCAGTGATGAGTTAAAAGGTGGATTTTGAATGGGACGACTTTCCACCTAAACATCAACAACAAAATTACCTTTTACAAAACTTCTATTCGTCCGACATGGACCTACGGAAATTTGCATTTCAACCAAACACTCCAATTCATACCGTATCCAGGCTCTCCAATCATAAATCCTAAGACAAATCTTTAATTTTCTTTCTACGTCTGCAATAAAAACCATTCATGCTGACCTCCATATTCCATTCACTCAAGTCCTTGTAAGAGCACGCGATCAGAAATACTCTTTCTGTACACCCAATCCAACAACTTCCCATACTAACCCTATGTGGAAATCCTCCACGTCGGCTGAAAAGGCGATAAACTACGGAATTGCTTCGGTGATGTGCGTGTGTGTGTGCAGTGTGAGGGTGTCACCAGTGGGTGGCTTCTCCCATCATGTTTAATTGTATCATGTTATGGTGTGAATTACCAAATTGACTTACTGTAACTAAAGTTGCTGTTTTTTTATTACATTTATTTGATATTTGCAACTACAAATATTGTATTAAGTTTATATGTTCATATATGTTGAATTTGTCATTTGAATCTCTTGTAGGAGAAGCTGCCCAGTGGCAACCCTTCTTATCACTGAAGGTTTTCAATCTTCACTCTACTAGAAGGTCTCGGGGCCATTTTCACTTCAATCGTGTGGATTTTCAGGTAGGTTTGGAAGTGATAAATGTCGTACTAACAGATTATTATGCGTGTTCAGTGATTGACGAAATTTTTTATAGCGGGTTTTGATGTGCTCAGACGTTATGAATAGTGTAATTTGAAACGTAAAAAGGAGCATTTATAATTTGACGGAGAATTTCACATTGAATTGATTGAAGACGTTGGGAATTGGAATCTTTGGTTGAGCCCCACACTTCACAACCGTACGTCCAGAGAGGTGAATCATTGTCTTGTAAATTGAAATTTTGATCGTGACTCAAGTAGTCTTTTTAATAATTTATAAAGTTTGTTTGCTGGGTTTTCTCTCTTGTGCGGGCATTCAAAGTCAGTCATTTATCCATGAAAAGTCCAAGATACAGTGGTAGGCAATGGGATTCCATTTATACTCACTGCAGGACAGATATTTTTACATAAGGTAAAATTTATCTGTACGCTTTTCGTTAGGCTTCTCTTTATTCTCCACTTTGAGAAACACACGGTTGATTAATTCAGGTGTTGTTGTGTGTGTTGAATGTTAATTGAGGGGTTCGAATTACGTGTAAGAATCATCTGTATCATCAGCGAATGTCTGTGTTGAAATGTTAACATGTGTAGGAATATCTGCAGTGTATATTGAAAATAGAAATGGGCCAAGTATGATTACCTGAGGAACACCCTCCCTAATGCGTATATAAGGTGAGAATTCAGTTCCCTGTCGGACAGTATGAGATAGTACTTTGTTCTTCATTTTCCAAAGCAAGGCCGAGTGCAAGTTGCAAGTGTAAATATTAATCCTCTCAAGACAAATTTTTGTTAGCACTTAAAAGCGATTAAAATGATTTGTGTATTCATTTAAAAATGCGCTAATTTTTGATCACAGCGCTGTTAATGTTTTAATTTTAAATAAAATGTTTTATCATTTTATACTGTAACCTGATTTATACTGTACGTTGATTAGACCTTTAACTTACAGTTAAAAAAATAATTGTTTATACATAAAAAAAGGATAAAATACAAATCAACAGATTTCTATTTAATGATGAATTATTTAATTAACCAAAAAAGCACAAAAAACACTTTTATTGAAAAAAAATGTATAAAAAAATAAACTGACCCCGACGTGATTTGAACACGCAACCTTCTGATCTGGAGTCAGACGCGCTACCGTTGCGCCACGGAGTCACCTGTTGGAAGAGCCATTTGTCCACATAACATCCTGTCCAATTGATCGGAACGATATTTACCAGATAATCAATACAGAAGAAATATGATTTCTTTTTATTAGTAATGTTTTCCCATATTTCAGGCCTGTAATGGCTAATTTCTAATATGCAGTTTAGTTTCAAAAATAAGCGATGTGAAGGCCCTGAACCTAGACTACTGGTGGACGATGTTGAAGCTTTACCCACAATCATGAAGAAAACTATTTCTATAAAGAACTATTCATTTAATCAGACCGTTTTTCATTGATTTGCTCTGTTGATTGAAACGGAAATAGAATTAGTAGAATTAGACGGGATTGATGATCTTTGAAGATCTTGCGAAGTCCACCCATTTGGAGTTGATTTTGGAGAGTACATACATACACACTCAGTAAAAAACGTATGCTTAAAATATGAACTTCAAATGTCCTATACAAGTCGTGGATACAAAACATCATTTTTCTAAATGTTAATATATTCTTTAAAAGATTGTGAACATTAAAAAAATAAATTATTTAATTTAAAGGTTATTTATTTTAATAATAACTTTTTATATATTCATCAAGAGGCAACCACGTTTCTGAACACATTTGTTTTACAG